TATATATATATATATATACAAAGTATATATATAAGATTAAATATTTTATTATGTAATATACAGGTAACCGTCGTATAACGCGGATATTTCGTTCTACAGAAATGCCGCGTTATATAAATCGCGTTATACGAGGGTTATCTGTATAATCAAAGAGATATATTTTATTTATATTTAGGATATAGATTTATTTGGCTATTTGTTTTTCCGAAGTTCATCCAGGCAAGCACAGGGAAGTGTTCTGAGATCCAAAGTAGTCCAATCAAAAAGTAATTGTTGAACTCTCTTAATATTGTTCCAATGTATGGTTGATCTATGATGAGAGAAAAAATATGATAAACATATGGATTATAAAAAATAACATCTTGACAATAAGATAAATGCGATAAATCATAAATACATACGAAACAATTTGAAGAGATAAATACGAAATTCGAGGTTTATTCGACTATACCATCCGAGTGACTTATCTGAAATTCAATTTGACTTTTTTACTCTAAGAAATTAATAAATTTCTTTTAATAAGTTGCTTTTATCATTGCGCAATATGCTCCAGATCTAAAACTATTATTTTAAAGTACTTACTAAAGTACTCAATATTTTTTTGCGATACTTACATTCAAGACCATATAGCTTTAAAGTTAATGCTATTATTGCATCTGTATTCAAAAACGGATCCACACACCATAATCCATTTATTGTAGTCGTTACTGTATCGTAGAACTCGGGTGGAGCTTCACTCAAATATTTTTTGTACACCTTATCGTTTATTTTTTGACACAAATCTCGGGTTTCATCTGCATTTTTGCGGCATACGTTCAATCTGCGAACAGCAGCAACTAACTAATAAAATCATTATTAAAAAATTACAATATTAACATATTGTTAGTTTTATTATAATATACATAATATGTATGTAGTTTACATTAACATCGTGTTTTAGAGAATATATATTAGAAACAATTTATAGTTGTGTTGTGATGCATTTGGTTTTGTATATATTAATTAATATTAAATATATACATATGTATAATACATATGTATTACATTCGCATAGCGTCGAGTTGAGATCGAAGTGCATGTACGGAAAAAGATCTAGATAGCTTAATTGTGGAGACTAAGCCATAAATTTTTGCTCGATGACAATCGACAAGAGACGACCGGCCCCAGTGGTCTCGCGGCCTGAGTGCAGGGGCTGCGAACCCGGAGGTCCCGAGTTCGAATCCGCTCACCATCTAAGGATTTTTTCTGGGCCGGTCTCTTTCAACCGAGTTTATCGGTTGATCGACGAACTAAATCGGGCCTCTAAAAATTAATTCGGGTGTAATCCCGAATTAATCCCCCTCCTACAAGGCGATCATAGTCACAACATCTTGAACACGAGCCGACACAGATGGGCATGCCCACTGTGAAAAGAAGGTCGTGTATCGCGTGGTAGTAGTTACTGCACGAGATCCCCCCGTGAAAAAAATATAAAAATTTGACTGACTATGATAATAAATGTGTCTTAATAGACAAGAATGGCTTGCACGTAAAAGACTCAATAAAAAAAAAAAAAAAAAAAAAAAATTGACAAGAGGCTTTACCAAAAAATAAAAAATGTCAGTCACGAAATTACCAATTATTGTAGCTTTATGACAGTGGCGGGGGTAAAAAACGAACATACTAGAAAAACGTGTTTAATGTTATACAAAGATGATATTTGGTGTGTCATTACCGATCGGGAATTCCCAACATGTAGCCGTTTACACGCCAAAAATGAGTAATTGCCTCATCTTCTTCTGGTGTATTGTGCAGGCCAATAGTCTTAGCGCTAGTGAGGATATGGCCTACAAAAGCGCATTGAGTAAACGCCATATCCCTATTATAAATCGGCCCAACGCGTGCACACTGTGATCTCTTATTGTTTGTGCCGTGTTTCCAACGAATTGTATTTATTGTTTTGTACCAACTGAAAAAATGCAATAATTTTTGTGTAAATATTGAGAATATTAATATATTCACACATAGTTAAATTTTAAATTTATAGTTCAAATTATTTATTTTTGTATATTTTTAAATCTTTAAAAACATTTCTAAATCTAAGTTTGTGTGATTTTTGCAAATTTGTCATGATATATTCTTGTAGATCAAGAGAATAGGTATATATTTGCGAGATGCAAACCAAGCGCATTCGATATAGATATTTGAATTAAATTTTGCTGTGTATCAAACTCATAAACATTGAAACAAACCAGTTAAGAGTTCTTGTTTTTATTCTAACATCTTTTTAGTTTTTAAAACAATGTCATGTAAGTATCGAAACAGCATAATCGGATATTCATATATGTATATTTATGCATTTATGAGAGTAACTCGAGATATGTTTTTTTTGCAGTTAGTTTTTTACAATCTATCAAGCAGATATTCAGTCATGTTTATGAATATAGGTAATGACATGTTCGGTTATGTGCTCACTGGTACAACCTTTTGCTTCCAACTCGAGATTTAGGAGACAAGAGATTTATAATTTTAATCTTCGAGCTGAACAAACTTTCTTGTTTAATTAATCAAGTGTATTGCTCATGCTTATTAATTGCTGTTTTTTTATTCTATTTTTATCTGAACGATCAAGATTTTATTTATTTTAAGCAGCGTGAGTTGGCCGATTTAACAGACACTTCTTAACAAAACTTAATGCTCAAAAATTTACTCGCTAATTAAATGTTGAAATGATAAAACTTAGCGTGTTTTTCACACGTTAGTATTGATCAGAGATGATCTGAGATAAGAGATTACATTGAGATACGCATTGATCTATCAATCTCTCAATTTTAGTTTGTTTCTTTGCGCTTGGTTCGTTCCTTAAATTTTTGAATCAAATTTCACATGAGTTTTGTTTTACTCTCTCTCTCTCTCTCTTTTTTTTGTTTTACTCTCTAAATCATTTAGAACAAGACACATGAGTGTCAAAAAATCACAGTTTTGACATAATTGCAGACTACAGGCGAAGAACTTGATAAGTCACATTTTCGTAATTTTAGAGGAGACGAATTTTAAAGTTCGAAACGTATATGTATTTACTGTGTTACACATTTTTGAAAAATATTTATATCTCGGAATCTATCAAGAATTTTCTTTTCTCACTTTGGATAATTAAAATACTCCATTATAACTACCAAATAACATCAAAAACAAAAAATTGACTTATCAAGTTCTTCTCCTGTGTGGTCTTTAATTAGAAATACTTACTTCGAATCCCGAACATTTATATCATTCTTATACAAATTGACTATGTGCAGTGTAGTTTGTAAGTATCGTTTAAAGGCTGCGCAAGGCGTATCATGTTGCTTTGTATATATCAGCACCTATGAAAAAAATGTTTGATTAGTGCAAATATATTAATTATAATAAGTAAACACACATATGTGTATATAAGAGCGCTATTTTATGTTTTTAACAATTTTATTTCTGTATTATTTTTAACAAATGTAATACCTTCAATATCGACGGGATCGCTAGTATCGAAAGAAGTCCTACAAAGTTTTGTGCATTTATAGACAATATATTTCGTCTATAAAAACGTTGAGCCCTGAAAAATTAGAAATTTGCAATTTTTTTTAAATTTTATACAAAAAACAGACACATATTACATACATATTAATTTTTTCATGTTTATTAATTTTTTTATATTCACACTGTGAAAAAAAATAATTTTTACATCAAATAAAAGGTGATTATTATATATATATATATATATATATATATATATATATATATATATATTGCACACTTAAATTAGTATTATACTTACTCTTTGTATAACTTTCCATCGTACCAATCTGGAAGATCATCAGGTGTCACATCTTTTAGGTCACAATCTATCGCACTATCGTCTTCTATAAGACAATTGATGTGCTCATCAATCAACGGTTGAGCTGCAATGCATTTTTTGTATTTTTATTTATCTTTCATTTATTTTCAATAACAATTGTGATAAAAAGAAAATAGAACGTGAATAGAACATTGAATGAACAGAATGAATAGAATAGAATTTTGAGTTTTTAATAAAAAAGAAAACGCAGTAGTGTAGATATATATATTTCAGAATATATAATCGTAAAAATGTAAATTATTATAAGCAAAAAGTTACATAAACGTTCTCTTTCAACATTGAAATAACTAGTTTATATATATTGACATCACAGTAATTGAACATGAGTGAACTTTATTTGAAAAATGCATTAATTTGTAATTATTTTTTAAGAAATGCGCATATAATTCATCAAATGTTTTACACGTGTTGGAATGGATGTTTTCAGCGGAGTTTAATAATTCCCGCTTTTAAATAATACGTATGTTATCTGTGGTTAATAATCAGTTTATTTAAAAAAGTAAGATAATTTCAAGGTAAAATACTCTAAGCTGCAAAAAGTAAATAAGCTTTTAATGCTTAACTAATGTCAAAGTATTGATTGTGTTTTTTTAAATTTCATTTATCAAAATTGTCAATTTATGAGAATAAATTTTACGCATTAATATTGAATATTGAAATATGATAATATTGATAATATTAAAATTTTGCAAAAAAATGCAAAAGTTAATATTATCGAGCGACATGACAAAAAAGGCGTTCTTTATTCTACTTGCTCATCTAATTATCTGTAATCTGAAAATTAATTTGTTTTCAACGATTGGTGTATCTAATGAGTCTATCGACATATGTAACATGTTCTAACTAATTTATTTTTAATGATCTTGTGCTTATGTCTTTATAATGATCTATTTTGGTAATTAATGGAATCGTTTAAAATCGATTATTGAAAGCTTTTAGTAAAGACAAAATAATTGAAAACGTCGTTTATTTAACATTAGTAATATCAGTGGCTGTTCTGTGTTGTTTTTATTGACGCACTAAATATTATGAACAGCAAAATCATGAAATTCTTGCAATAGAAAAAAACGAATGTACGTCGATACGGACATCGACATGCAAAGGCACAGAAAAGAGAAAAGTGATATTACAAAGGACAAAAAGAGAAACAAAAACCGGTACTGAAATCCTGTTTCTATCTTTTAAGCAATGTCTGAATGTCGATACACACCGAAAATAGTGGATCAATAGTGTTTTATATATTTTTTTTTAATTCTTGCACATTTTACAAGTTCAATTAATTTTGTGTCAGATCTTGAATTTGTAATTAATGATATGATTCGACTGAGAATAAAATGAATACACAAGTGTGTTCATTGTATTCTCGTCTATCTTGAAAACATTTATGTGCATCAAAATTCGTTTTTGTTAATACTGATAAAAGAAAAACCAACACAATAATAGTAATCATTTTTTTACATTAGTATAAATCATTAATAGAGATTAAAATATATGAATTTAAGGGCCAATACGAGATTTATACTGGTTGTTCATGTAAAAAAATTAATTTATTTCAATAGCCAAACGTTTCGATCCTATTTTCGGATCTTTCTCAATGGCAACAAAAGTTTATTTAATGTGTAGGATGTACATCAGCTGTGTTCCGCTGGTTGTAAAGGAATTTTTTAATCCATGTTATGGATATCAGTCGTGCTTAGTGACCACACCATTAAAGTATTGACGACAGCTGATTGTGTACTGATGAGTGATTCATATTTTAACGATGTAGTCACTAAGCACGACTAATATCCACAACTAACATAGATGAAAAAATTTCTCTACAACCAGCGGAATACAGCTGATGTACATCCTACACATTAAATATACTTTTGTTGCCATTGAGAAAGGCAAGGATCGAAACTAAGATCGAAACGTTTGGCTATTGAAATAAGTCAATTTTTTACACGAACAGTATAAACCTCGTATTGGCCCTTAAACTCATATATTTGACATTATTACGAGGTCTACACATCGTTTTATTTAGATCAATTTAAATAATATTGTACAAAGACCGAGAGCGGTTTCAGATATCTGTTTTGTTAATTTAATTATACATCAAATAAAAACTATTAGAGATAGGATGAGTCGTGAAATATTCTAGATATAAATTTTTGTTCCGATAAGATCATTGAGATTGCTTTTAACTTTACAGTCTCCAACACAGACAACTGTGTGAATACATATAGAAATATTTCACGATCGAGACATCATTTCTTTTTTGGTTGTTATAAAAAAGTAAAGTATATAAAATAAAAAGATGGTTTTCACCAAATTGAAACAATTATTTGTTAGTTATTTAAGTAGTTATTATCAAATTAATCTTATAAGGAAGGAGAGAAAAAAAGCCGTTCCGGCGCTATCTATTTTTACTACGCCACTTCAGATTCGTTTGAATTATGTAACTGTATAATATTGTAAATATAATATTGTAATTTGTCTACAGTATCAGCTCTATAACCGTTTTAGCAACACGTTTTAAGTACATGCGAAATCATAACATAGAGAGATTGATTGAATATGGAATAAAATATCGAAAAAGTCGCTTGTGTATAATAAAGCATCTTTTTTTTTCTTGAATACTATTCTTCGGTCAATATATGTTTAAAGGTACACTTGATGTTCAAATTTGTATTTTTTTTCCACTACTACGAACGACTAGTTAAAGCGTAACAATTATATTGAGTAAAATAACAATTTTATCTCAAAACAAAAAGTCAATTATAAAACAAACAGATCTTCATTACTTCATAGATATCAGCATAATGATGATAAGTTAGATAATTTAATGTATAAATGTAAAGTACTATAATTTAGTATATAAGTTTGTGTGAATTCGTGCGTGCAAAACTGCAACAAAACATGAGTTGCGTAAGTCTCGCACGCTCGTGCAATTTGCAGTTATGCTTGTCAAGCGTCTCGTGATGCACACGTCGCAAACGGTTGTTGTATAAAGTGAAAATGTCAAACTTAAAAGTATTGTGACTAATCGTAAGAAATTGTACGATGCATTTTTAAAACCTAAATGTGAGAAATCGTGTACCTAATAATGCGACCGCATTGCATGCATACTGATAGCTATTAGTCATAAACTGTAACATATACGTGTTACTCTAGTCTTGTAGTGGCGATCCGACAATGGTATAAAGTGATACCAATTGTTATCATGCTGCCATTAACAATAAAGACATATTAAGAAACACAAGCAATAGAAATAAGAATAGAAAATAGCTACAGAAATAGCAGGAAGGAAGTATTACTCTTTTTTTATATTTAACTCTTACGTATATGTAAATCTATATGTACACATACATCACAACAGTTTCAAAAATAATCACTTCTGTCCACTTCTATAGTTTTATAAAACACAATCTTACCTTCGTCAATATGAATTTTCTCCATCGTCATCACTTTTTCAGTTGTCAACGATGATTAATATACTAAATTATCCAACGATAATTAATATCGGTTGGATAGAATCAATTACAAAACTGTGTAATTAAAATAGTTAACAGTTTTGCAACAAGTATGCAAGGTATTTAGACACACGTGTTTCACTTAACGATAAGTTTTATGTGCACTTTTACGAGGCGGCTCTTACAGTTCTGAGTCGAGCTTCTCTCAAGGTAGCGCGACTCGTAGTGATTCTTTAAAAACGTTCAGAGAAAAGGAGCTCTCTCTTTTTATCGCCGCCAAGAAGGAAATCCCTACTTCTTCTACAGAAAGACATTAATGCATTACAGTGTACTGACCTTCTTAACGCTGTCGGTATAGTGGAAAGGAACTATTTCCCACTTCTTTAAAATGTTGTACAATATAAATGAGATTATCGTCGATGATACAAAGCGATGAAACAGTATTTGTGTGTATACTAATCTCAAAACGCATTATTGAAAATAGTGTTTCTCACTTTTCCATAAATCACTTAATAAAGAAATATTATAACAAGACGATAATAAACAAATAAATAAATATCGTTAAGTAAAACACGTGGTCAAAAGCATATAAAATAATTTACCTAATTTGTTCTTTTTTTTTTTTTTTTCAAATGAAAAAACTTTTATTTCTAACAACGCGAAATTTAAACGATCATGCCTTTGCGCGAGCGTGCAAAAATATCTTATATTAATATAGTGGAAATATATAGTGGATAGAATCACGACACTTTCATAAAAATATGAATATAATACAGAAAATATAATAGATAAAATTACAAGTATATAGAACAACACTGATTCACAACACTGACAAACTTGAAACTACTTGTATTTAGGATATAGCTTGATCTCGAAATTGTTTATTCCGAATTTCATCCATGCGTGTAGAGGATAATTTTGAATGAGCCAAAATATAAAGTTAAGCCAATAATTAAAAAAGGTTCTTACTGCTGCTCCAACATAAGGTACACCTAAATCACATTGAAAAAAAACAAATTAATATAATGATACTACGATATTACGTGGTAAAAAACTATATGCTGTATTGTATACACTTACAACACAGATAGTATATCAAATCATGATATTTGCCGTTTAATCGACTGTACCATCCGAGTGGTGCTTTATCTAAAATGTAAATGTACATAAAGTTTTTTAAAATGTTGAAAACATATTTAGCTACAATTAACCCATTTGCATCATAAGCGCATATATGTGCGCATTTTGCCTGGCCACTATCACCAGAGCGCATATATGTGCACATTTTGCCTGGCCACTATCACCAGAGCGCATATATGCGCGCATTTTACTTAGGCACTTATCACCAAAGCGCATATTATTTATACCAGGCCTGTCCAGCGGTGGGGCCCCTCACGCACTTTATTTCCCTTCTACGCTCTTAGACAGCTCTCTCTCTCTTTCCCTCTCTCTCTCTCTCTCTCTCCCCCCCTTGTCTTATCCGCTTTTCATTAAAATTTAAATACAGTAAAAAAAAATTTTGGTGATAAGAACTAATTTTTGACTTTTCTTTGTGATGCAAATGGGTTAAATATTCGACTAAAAAAGATTAAAATTGATTATATACTCACATTTGATACCGTGTAGCTGATAGGTAAACGCCAGGAAAGCGTCATAATTTAACGTAACATCGATGTACCATAATGAATTTATTATAACTCTCACCATCTCGTAGAACTCGATAGGAGCCTTATTAAAATGTTCTGCTAAAACATCGTAACATAACTTTCGGCACAATTCGCGAGTTTCTGCTACGGTTTTACGACATATATTTAATCTGTAATTTAATCACGATAAATAATTAACATTTAGTTAAAGAAATGGCTATATTAATTTGAATATAGATGTACACTTTCAAAAGTATATTAGAATATATATTAAAATATATTACAATATAATAAACCGCATTAGAAACTTGGATTTATTCTTTTTTCTGTTAAAATTTGTTTTCTTTAAAATTTAACTTTGGTAATATTATCACATGTATTACCGGTCGGGAACTTCTAACATATGACCCATTACGCGCCAGAAATGATTAAGTGCTTCACATTCTTCCTCCGTACATTGCAAACCGACAGATTTAGGCGCGACAAACGCATATCCTATGAAAGCAAATTGTGTTATAGCCACGTCTCTGTTATAAATTCCTCCAATGCCAGCTTTTTTTGCTCTTTTGCTGCTTGTCTTGTGTTTCCAGCGAATTAGATCGATTGTTTTATACCACCTAATAAAAGTTGGAAGAATATTAGGTTCACTCTGTGTTTTAAACATATTTTCTAGATTAAAATTCAGAAGTTTAAAGTTATAATTATAAGCAAATATTTTTTAAAATAAAATAACGATCAACATATTATTATGACGCTACACACATGTGAGTGCTACAACAGATACTACATATATGTATATAAAATATATAAAAAATATATAAATATATATAAAAAATTACATATGTAATGAAATTTATATACTTGGAATTTGGGTCACTCGGATCACATGTATATATATTTCTTATGTGCAATGCAGTTCGAATATATCTGGCAGAGGCTATGCAAGGTATACTACTTTGTTTTGTAAACAAAAGCACCTGTTAACATTATAAAAAACTATTACTTTTTACTATTCTATTAGCATATTTATTTAAATTTCTAATAAGATATTGTTGAAATAAATATACAATTTTCATACCTTTAGTGTTTGTGGAATTACTATTACTGCAAGAAGACCTACAAAGCTAGATGATATCATCTGCATCATGTTATTCTGGTAAAACTTTTGACCTCTGACAAAAATAAACCATGTTACACGTTAATACTGTCAATACATACTACAATTTTCTGTAAAATCTTTTACTGATTTCTAAAATCTTTTACTTATTTCTGAATTATACTACGGCCGTTTTTCAAATTAAAATCTTTTAAATATAAACGTTTAAATTTAACAACTTGGATTGTCTAGTCTAAATTTTTACTTTCAGAAAAGGAATTTCACAGTAATAAAAGCGTTTCGAGACATCGATCTCCTCTTAAATTATCAAAGTAGTATATTTTACACAAATACAAACGCGATGGTATTTTCCTAATATTTTATGTCGTGTATATATAAAGATATGCCATATAAAAATACTTGCATTTTGAATAATTTTTCATTGTACCAATCTGGAAGATCATCGGGTGTTGCTGTGGTAGATTTTACGTCGATTTCACTTTCATCTTTTAGTAACAGTTCTAAATGTTCATCTACTGTCAACGGTTGAACTGCAACGCAATAATATGTAAACTCTCTTTTTGAATATTTTATTGCAGAATTTTGTAATTTAATTGTTCACTAGCTTTTTAAAGATTTTCCGATATGAACTTTTATATTTGAATTATGACGTTAGAGACAAGAAGCTATATGAATTTTTATATTACACACATAAACATATATAGACTATTTAGTTTAAGTTTTTGTAATTTACAAAAAAAATTTATATATATATATATATATGTATATATCTCAAAAGGGTTTTTTAATATTTTAAGATTGTGGCTTACCATCATCAATGTGTGCTGCTTTTTTCATGGTTAGTTACTATTCTTTGTCTATGCTTCTATTAATAATAATTTACTACACAGTGACGATATTATGTGATTATAAAGTACACACTTACACTGGTAAAAGTTACAATAATAAACAATTTTGTCGAAAAAATATTTTGCTCTCGATCAGCAGAGTAACGTGATAGTACCAAGAGAACGCAACTAAAGATGAAACATATGTAGTCCGATCTTATATACTCAAGACTAATAAGTGGTTATTTTATTGATATGTGAATCTGAGGAATTCACGCTCTCTCTTCTCTCTCTCTCTCTCTCTCTCTCTCTCTCTCTCTTTATGTAATTGCGAATGTGTGCGTAAGATAAGAAAGCAATAAATCAAATATAAAGGAAAAAGATATGTGAATGCGTATACAGAGTAAAACACATAAAATCATAACAAATGTACATTAGAGAAAAATGATCAAAATATTAAAATTAACAAAGGACAAAGGTTTATTTACTTGTATGGCAACAATAAATATGGCAACAAATGATCACGGTCTGATTCGGGGTGACTTTGTCAAGTCAAAGTCATCATAAACTTCTGAAATGGAAACCTATATTTTCTATTATACATACATTATTGTAGTAGCTGACATTGAGACATTTTCGAAATATTTTTTTATTTTTAAAGCAGAAATTCAGACCATAAACACTGTTCTTATTGCCCTATTAAAGCCAAACAATTTTTGTTTGTAATATTTTTTGATAGTTCTGAAAATAATTGCCACACTTTGTGTGCCTCAAGTCCTATAGTTGTTTTTTGTTTTTTGCGCAGTTCACTTGCGTACTATTGACGTAAATGTACTTCAACAGTATAAACAGTATCTTTCCGCATAGTGACGTGTATTTCTGATAAAGTTCTCTTTAACCATGTTTTTGATGAAATTTCTTATAGTAATAATGTTTCGAATATCATTTTATAATGACTGTGTGTTTATTAGAGAGAGATAGACACAACAAAAGTTGTTATTATACATTTAAATTTCTATAAAATAACATTAAATTTTTATATTTATAAATTGCTTAATAATGACCGTTTTTATTCTTAATTGTTAATTAAGTATTAGGTTAATTGTTAATTAAGCATGACAGTTTGTTCACGCACGCACACGAAATACATCTTATTTTTATAAAATTTAATATTTCTATACATAAATACAAATAAGTATTTGTTTAATATTTCTATACATAAATACAAATAAGTATTTCTATACATAAATACAAATAAGTATTTTGTAGCATTATACATATAAGTCGTAATATGTTATATGAAAAAATATCAGTCGCAGTTTAGCAGAAAATGTAAAATTGCGCAACAGTTCGTAATGTTTTTGAATTGTTGGAAACAAAGTAATATCAGCAGAACAAAAAAACGCGTTTGACTAATTGTAAGCATTGAAAGATCCGTTGAATAATTGCCAAGGAATAAAATTAGTACTCGTTCAAAATTAGCATTCGTAGGCTGCATTCGAGCACGCTACCACCGCTATTGTGTCATTCTATGTTTTATGTTTGTTCTTTGTTTTACATTTAATCATCTAATGATAAAGATATAATGATGCAATAGCGCAATGTAATCTATCGGAACAGAGAGATTTAAAAAGAAACCGTTTAAAACTCTGATTGCTCAAAATTATTCTGTTTCTTGTATTTATTTTGTTTCCGACATCTCGCGCATGTTCGACAGCTCGCGCGTTTTTCGTTTCTGATGAATCTCTCGAAAAACTTCGCGGATCGGTCGTAAACCGGCGGTTTGTTTTATCTCGTAAAAAAAAACCATTATAGATATCAAAAGACCCACAATAAGCGTTGTAAATCCGGCGGCTAACGGTGTTAGTCCAAGCACGTGAGCGGTATTATCAAGTCCATCGTATTCTTTGAGAACTTCTCGAAGATTAATTGTAGTTTTTCGACGGATAACGTTATCGAGATGATAGTACGTAATGCCTGACTCTTTCAACCATAATATTATCTGTAGGAAAAAAACTGAGTTTTAGCTTACTGTTTCACAAAAAGTCATCACTCCCTACGTATAATTACATAAGTGTCACATACGGGATTCTCAGTTTATTACATAGTGATACTTAGAAAGTCATGTTCTTTATGGTCACCAAATATTAAAAAAAAATATTCATAAGTAAGGTAAAAATTTAAAACCGAAAGATCCCTTAACTAGAGAAACTATATGAAGCTTTAAACTTTTAAACTGCTCTCCTCTAAAATTTTGCGTTTTGGAGTTACGGAATTATACGTAGGGAGTGACGAAGTGAAGTATAATGTTTCTTTTTTTATGTGATAAATTTATGCGTCCGAGCGATTGTAACATTACTGTATTAATAGGTCGTAGTAGCCACGGTTGGACGGCGAAGGATGAATAATAGCTGCCAACCGTCTGCTTCATAACTCTATAATTCTACAACAAATTTGCAAATCAGGTTTTGCATAGGGAGGCTTATCGCGTAGTAATTTAAAAATTATTACACGAATAAGCGTATAGATATGCGTACTGTGAAGTTATCGTTCGAAAGTTCATCTTCTGGAAAGAAGATCGAGCCTATGACTGTTCCGAGAATAGCGAAATTTCCTTTCTTGATTAATTCATTCATCATCTCCTTAGTTTGTGTGAGAATAAATCTCGACGGCAACTGACTCATATAAGGATCCTTGAAAATATATACACGTTGACTATGGAAAACAGAAGAGACAAATTGCTCGTTCGAAGCCAAAAAAAAAAAGAAGATGTCTATACTTTCATGTCGAAGTAATCGTCATAAGGCGGTTCTGGTCCTCTTCGACTCCACGACAAATTTGCCTCGAGAAGTTGACGTACCGTATCGATTCTATGAATGTTGAATAAAATTTAAGATTCTTTTGAAAATTAAACGAATGGTAATGTTACGTATGGAACGTAATATGATTATATGTAAGTATCAAATCGAAAAGAGTAATAACTTCACAATAACAATTAATATAATTGTTTTAATGTAAAGAAGGCATGATATAATAAGTGAACGAGAGACTTATATTTTCACAGTAGATTAAGGATAATAACAAAAATAATTGCCACCTGTCTTCGTACTCCGAGCTCGCAAGTCTCGCTGCAAGACTACTGCTGTAAGCGGTTACCAGTATGACTCCTACAGTTTGCCACAAATGAAGTTCGAATCTAGCATTGATTGTGTTTCTTGGTACCCACGTGCCTAACAGGCGACCCATCAACTCCGTAATTGTCGAGAAAAAACTTCGAAAACCTAAAAGAATATATTTCATCCGATATTAATCTTATAGCAACGCGAATTGAGGTAGAAGTTCGATCAAGGTACATCTAAAGTTACTTTTTTATGTGTACAAAGTATCTTTCTCGTTTCGCATTGTTTAACGGAGAAAACATGACACTCTTCTTCTTTATCTCGTAAGAAATAAGAAGAGAAGAATATAAAGCTTGAATTTTGAATCGTGTTTTGAATCGCGACTGAATTCTTAGATTATATATCAATATTTAATATTTTTTTTTATTAATAATTATATTGATAAGTATGATCGTGCATTTTGTTATTTCCAGTTTTCTGATGCGCTAAATTTAATCTGTTAAGTACACGTGATAGTGCGTGAGAGATTACTTTAGTCGTATTTTTAATAGATACATTAAGTAAGTACTGCACTATCATTGTGTTTAATTAACAGTCAAACAACAAAAAGTTAAATTTGTTAGAAGAAACAAAGTCTGAAGTCTGCATTACATTAAAAAACATGTTGTAAGTCTTATTATCTTTTTTTGCTTTACTTAAGTAGTATCGTATGTTATTAACTACACTATTGTATTATAAGTTCTGCAGACTCATTATTTATCTCGACATATCTCGGTTTATCTCATAGGTCAGGACGGGCCAGCTCAAAACTCAATGCGAAACTTTACAATAATGATAATATCTGTTACACAATCGACATCTTTAACTTACGTTTCGGAAATTTTGGATCGATTCTGGCACGTGCGCACATATACATGCTCTCGACGAACAACATAATTATCAATAAGATCCAACAGTCTATCGAAAATGGTCTTGTGAGCGCCCAGAAATTGGTGGTCGGTTGCGGACGTGGTACTAAGAAATGCAAAAACATCTGATACCACGGTTCCGACATGTTCGCAAACTCGTTTGTGCTGTCCGTTAACCAGATACCGCCGAAAGCCAGATCGATCTTTTGAGAGAAACATACAATTTTGCTTCATCGAAACGAAATTATCTCAATCAGTATTTAAAACTGAAAAAAAAGATATCTGTTTGATATAATTAATATACCTTTTTCTCTTGTAATAATTGGATAACACCTCCTTGCCACGTGTTGTTTACGCGTCGACCGTATCTAAAATAAGAGTTGACTTGATTTTAAAATTGCATCATCTTTCATGCGCATTACATCGTAGTTAACGGCTGACTAGTGTTATTTCATTAATTATTAGTATGACTAGTCAAGTTTCACGACACACAAGAACATTGTGCGCAGTATATATTACTGTTATATATTTCAGAGTAACTTAGGATAAAGATAAAAAGAAAATAGAATAAAGATAAAATAAAATAAAAATAGAGAAAGAGCAAATAGAAATAGGAAAATAGAAGAAGAAAAAAGAGAAAAAGAAAAAGAAGGCAAAAATGTAAAAAGGCAGAAAGGAATAAAGGTATAAAGGTACTTAAATGTAATTAAGGTGAAGGCTAAATTGAGTTATGATTTAAGTTAATTTATTTAACGCAATGTAATGTAATTTAATTTAATGTGATGGGAGTGAAGATAATGTAAAGGAATTGTAAAGTAAATGTAAATAAGCGTGAAATAAGTGGTATGTAACGTATGGATCGTATGGAAGGATGTGTGTGAGTAGACTTTTTGTAACCAAGTCCCCTTCTTGGCCATATAGGCTGAAGTGTCTAAATAAATTATATATATTACTGTTATATATTAACATTTATCTCATGTAAATTAAGCAAGTAATATATATGTAAGTATATAGGTATTTATGTGTGCAGAGTTACCGATAGGTCCCTGGTGGTTTTCGTATTGTCCAAGTAAAGTTCAATTTTTCCGCTATAAGCAGAAATATTTGGATTTCTATACCGTCTTTTTCCTCATCTGTAAAATATACATATGTATGCTCAGTGAATCAGCGATTGATTACATGATACGGAAGAAGTCAACAGTTTCATATCACGCAATAGCTTTATGTTATGATATTAAAAACAAGCAATCGTTATTAAACTTTTATATTTGCACATACATGTTTATGTAAGCGTTTTCCTACATAATTTGCAATATAAACAAGCGCGTATAAACGTGTATCACATATAATTAGAAAAGTAGATACTAACCAACCTTTGCTATTGCGTTGACAAAACTCAACAAATAGTGAGTAAGAGATGCAATTGCGAGTAAGTTTAGAATTTTATACGAGAAAGATCTAGTCATTTATAGCTTTGGAGCAAAAACTTGTGTGTTTCATTTGTATGATGTTTTTACTGTCAGAGTTTTATGTCAGAGATATTGAAAAACGTAACAAAGTTATATTTTAATAAAGCTTTTTTTTATGAAGTTTTCCTTATAAAAAAAATAAATATAAAACTACATTAAAGAGGACGCTTTACGATGTTCGATATGCCAACGAAATTTTAAGCGCGTTTTCCTTAACGTTCTCTCTTAATGCATACACACATCTATATCTATATCTATACATACATATATGTAATATATCTACCATTATCCGCTAAAAAAACTTCTTCTTCGACGCCGTTAATTACTTTTTTGGTCGTTCTGTTGAGATAAGAAACGGGCGGTCGATAGAACGAACACACTTGCAGTTCTCTACCTCTCATATTAATTATATTGAATTCATTCATCAAGTCGTTGTAGCTGTAAAATAAGTTGCTTGAAACTCTTACGTTTATATTAAATACATTTATATTCATACCATTTTATTGACATAAATTATAGTAATACAATATTCGATGATTTTTCATGTACCTATCAATTAGATCGAATTAGGTTTGATACAATCGAAAATATATCAGACAAAAAGTCCGTAGAAAAGCCGACGCTAATAAATATCGTTTTTTTAGTTCATTAAGAGTGTTTTTATATACTAGATGCATCGAACATCGAGCATCATGCGCATAATACCGTCGCGAGACACATGAATATAAATAAATATCACATCTTCCTCAATGGTTTTTTGTGGAGAATTTGGCAACGAAAAGTTTTACACAATTATATTGCAAGCTTTTCCATTTTCAGAATTATTATGTAATTTTTCACCTAATATGTTATATTAATTTGACTCTATATTGCGCGTTTACAAAAAAGACGACTCTAAATCTGAGGTCAAAATGTGTGCGTTGGCTCTTTATGGATAGTCTTTTTGTCTAATCTCACCATGTTTTGCATCTATCTCACGATCAATATAAGAAAAACAATGAAAAAGTAAAAAAATTATGTCTTACCTGTCTACCTTTAAAAAAAATCTAGGTTTTAAATAATTTTCCGACAAGGTCCAAATTCCCGATTTTGACACAATGTTGGCGTTAGAATTTCCATATAAGGAAACATTAAAAATTGTTGAATTGTTATCTAACACACCGTCAACGATAACAAGAATTTCCGTTGTTGAGATGGTCGAGGGTACTCTGTCAAAAAACTATGTGTTTCCATAAAGTTTAGAATATAATACATAGAATTGTAACTTAGACGCGTGGTATATTAAATATTATCTTTAATATAAAACATTTAATTATTTAATACTATGCCTTACGTGTCTATATAATATATATTATACACTATTATATAATATTATATACCGAATATATTATACACTATTATATAATATTATATACCGAATGTAAATTCGACCTTGTAGCCTGATCTTGTCCACGGGTGATGTAAAAAATCGTAGAAAGTGTTGTTTAGTGGGACGTTTCGATCATACTTTAATTTCGATCATCATCAGCCAATCTTGGAAAAACAAATACAATGATTAAAAAAAAAAAAAATGATTTGATTTTGAACAATACCATCACAGAAGATTAATCTCGGAGATGCTACATATAAAAATGCAAAAAAAACAACGTAAATGCAATGAGAGATACGGAATGGCTCGATTCTGCTTACATTCCGTTATTAAACAAATTTAATTCTTAAAAAAATTTTTTGTTGCTCTCTTCTCCTCACTAGTTGTCTCTCTCAGACTTGGTTTATCGATTTGCTTTGCTTTATCGATTATTCTTTGTCTGTACTTCGTGAGAGATGGTCTCGCTTGTGACGACGATCGCTGTTGTGTGTCATTGTGAGATGAGTTGCTGTTTTTTAGACTTCCAACTAAATGTAAGTTTTTTGATTTTTTTGACTAATTTTGACTATCTTAGGTTTTTATCTTTTGACTATTCTAATTTTATTTTTTTACTATTCTAATCAATTAATTTATTATCTTGAAATTTGGTAATTTTCTCAGTTCTTTTATGTAAGGACTGTAAAAATTAATTATTAATTTAATTTGAGAAAAACTTTCATATTTTATACATACGTCAATTATTTCATTGTAGAAACACCGATACAGGGTCTGTGTTTACTTTGTTGATCGGTTAGCGACTCTTCTCATATTTTGACATGCGGTAGCTGTATGTCGGTTTGAATTTATCAAGGTGCGTACTCATGATTTTGCTATTTTGTGTGTGGATTGTAATACTTCTCTATTTATTGTCAATTTTACCTTATGCTATTAATTGTTCCTTTTTTTTTTTTTTTTAATCATTGTATTTGTTTTTCCAAGATTGGCTGATGATGATCGAAATTAAAGTATGATCAAAAAGTCCCACTAAACAACACTTTCTATGATTTTTTACACCACTCCCACCCGTGGACAAGATCAGTGCTACAAGGTCGAATTTACATTCGGTGGAATCCATTTTTAAGGCCTGTACTAATTCATTTTAATATTATATACATATATATTATTGCAATTTTGATAACTGTTTAAAGTTATATTGTCATTACTACCTTGTCATGACTCTCTCAATTTCCTTGTCTGTCGGTCCCAACAGAAAATATCCCTGACATTCGTAGATTTTTCGGCGTAAAAGATATTCGTAAGGATAGATGTTTCGAAACTGATTGAACAATACTTCCACGTCGTGAATCGAGTCTGAGGGAAAAATCGCGTTATACTTTCAAATAAATTAAAAAATATAACGCGCGCTCTATATATACTAACCGCTCAAATATATATTGCAACACTTGGAATATAAAAACGATTTATGTATTATCGTTGTGAAATTTTCCGTTGATATCCATGATTTCGCGTTCGAAGGTATCATGATTTCTCTGCCAGCTAGTATTATCTTGATAATGAGAAACGCAATACCAACCACTAAGTTTATTTTCATAATGGATTACTGTGTCAAAAATTTACCGACAGAATTGGATAGTATTTAATTGACGAACTAACTTGAATAATATTGTAGAAAGATTACATTGACATTTTAGTCTTGACTTATTTTCAAATGCAAATAAACACAGATGCACTTTGCAAACACACGTATTTTATTCTCACACTTGTTTTCACACTTGTGTTTGTTTGTATCAAATGCTTAATTATTTACTTGTGTAACGTCGAGAGTATAATAATGTTACACATATAGATTCTCTTTGGTTTAATATTACACGGAGAAAATTATTAATAGCGTTAATAAGAAGTATTATAATAAAGTGCCCAATGATAAATTACCGTTTACTATGTGCGATATTAAAATAATTTTCGCTCTGCTGTTGTACAAGCTGACTCAATAACAACTGGCGCTCAATGGTTGATAACTGGAGCGTAACATCCGTTAGACCTGGTGTGAAAAAGTAGATCGATTTAAAAAGCGGACACTCTATGTAAAATTGCACATGTAGAGTTACGTGAGTTTACAAGCACGCCCAAGTCGTTTCAAGTATGTATACACTGAAATATACATGGTGCAGTTTGACAGCAGATAATCACTTTGATAGCGAAGGACGAATAAACACATAGTTACGATCCTCACGTGGTTGACACAAATGATAATTACACGACGAGGTAGAGAACGGTGTAATTATGTTCAACATACATCACTTTTGATACCTAATTGGCGATTCGTGCAAAATTAATTTTTCAATGTCATTTGCTTGACGTCGCAGTGACATCACAGTTACCCTTTTGTTGTCTCAGACGACAATTTGCACGATAACTTGCCTTACTTACAAGAATTAAAAAAAAGTTTATCGTTACTGTTGTTTACCAACGACATTTACTACTATTGATTCTAGTATAGAGATATTTAAAGTAATATGTTGATTCTACGATATCACAAGACATACGCCCAAATGTCGAGAAATAAAACGAGTTTCAACAACATGTTTAACAAAGACTTCGGAGGAGATGAGAGTTTGTATGAAAAAAATCTGTATTTAGCGTCGAGAGAGAGGAAAACGAGTCTTTACAAAAAAAAAAATGATGCGTTAACCGAGTATATTAGTGACTATTATATCGCATATTCGATGTTTGTAAGATAATACAAATAAATAATCTCCTGACGTAATAAAATGCAGCGATACACGTGTGAGATATGTTAATCGTATAGTTTTATCATAAAATTGAGAAATAATGTGCATCATATATATTAACGACTATTACGTCATGAAATTTTCACATTATGCACAAAGTGCTATGAAAAAACAACACATAATGTAATATCGAAAGTTTTTTATTGTACTTGTGTAAATTTTCGTGGTCACTATCTGATAACAATTTCTACTGACTAATGGCTCTGAACTGACAAGCTGCAGACGATAAAAAAAAAAAAAGTTGAATAATGGAGGTAATCAAAAATGAGAAGCAACGAGAGAACAAAGTGCGAAAAAAAGTAGCTTTCATATTTCAAAAGATAGAAACGAATTGTGTGTGTATGTACGTGATATTTAACAGCAGCGTATGAGAAGACAAATTTTTGCAATTTTTATTTGCGATGTCGGAAGTAAAGAGAAGTGAAGAGAAGTGGAATCAATGGCGAGTGAAAAGAAGAAAGTCGGGATGAAAGTCAAGATTTAAGGTTGCTCTTAAATCTTGAACTAGAATGTCCGCGAAACGTCGGTGAAATTCGAGTGATACAAACACGATTTCAACCAGAAACCACGCATAGAAATTTCGGTAAAGTATTTAAAATATTTTGTAATTATTTTTAATGTAAAGTACATGTAAATTATTATATATTGTACATTTATACACAACGTGCGCATACATACAGACTTTATATTAAAAATAATTAAAAATATTGTTCAAAAACAATTGAAGCAAACAATACTGTGTTAAAACTTAACACGTTGCAAAGATGCGACAAACTGTGGAATTAAATCGACCGCTAAAAACCAATACTCATTATCAATTCTTATCAGGTTTCCATGTTCTCGTACACACGTACTAAAGCGTTTGCCGCTGAGATGTCGCTTTTGTGTTGTTTGTCAGTCATACCACTAATCGTTTCTGACAAAAAGTAACAAATATCGTGTCGTTTTTCTCGTACCGTTTTTGTTTAATGAAATATTGAGTATATTTTTACTAAGCGCGACGTGTATTGAATCATTTAGTAAATCGACCTTAGGTGGAAAAGTGAAACAAGAATCGTATGCGAGTGTACTTTGACAAGTGAATCAAGAACTAAACTTAATGAGCTTTGCAATTCACTTTTGACGCAAGAAAAAAAAATGAATATTTTTGTTGTATTTATGAAACATCGAACTGCCAGTCTCACGGCGGTAACAGGTAACATTCTTGTCAAATTACAAAAATTTACGATTCTTTGTAAAATAACTATATGCGCTCTTTATTGATACGCGTGATCACGTAATGTTTTTATTTTCAGGAACGAGATGTTTCTCAAAAATTGGATTTGTCGGATTGGGAAATATGGGCGCGCACATGGCGAAAAACTTGTTAAAAAAGGTAATTAAAAATCTCACACTTGTGATAAATGTTTTTTAATTAAATACATGTGTATAAAAAAATTTCGTTTCTTTAATGAAACTTTTGCGCAAATAACTTCTAATTCTTGTATTGTAATAACTTCTAACTTTTGTATATTGTAGGGCTACAATCTTACTGTGTATGATGTGAACAGATCGGCGGTGACAAATTTAGTAGAGGCGGGTGCGAATGGTGCATCAAGTGTGGCTGAAATGTCGGGAGAAGCTGAAGTCGTAATGTCGATGTTACCTTCAAACGAACACGTTCTCGACGTTTACATCGGAGAAAACGGTGTGCTCAGGTAAAAATCACGTTTTTTTTTTTTCAACATAAAAACAATGAGACAAAAAATTCCAGTAGGCTCAGCAAGTTTCCTGGACTTCCACTGTTCTTACTAATATAGTGTTGCTATAATAATATAGTGTTACTATAATAATATAGTGTTACTATAACAGTAATATGGTGCGCTCTAATTTGCAATTAAATGTTTTTGTTATTTCTCGATAGTACAGCAAGAAAGAATGTTTTATTGATCGATAGCAGTACTGTGGATCCGTCAGTGTCTCAATCGATAGCATCGCAGGCTCGAAAATGTAACTTGAAATTTATTGACAGTCCAGTATCGGGAGGTATAATATGCATACTTTTTATCAATAAAATTGCTTTCTAAGTTGAGCAACTGAGTACCGATGTTATGAAACAAACAGCATTTTCTTTTTTTGCATCGTTAAAACGTCCACACGATAGCAGAAGTTTAAATAGATGATAAAGAAAAGCAAGTAGCAGAACAGTTGATGGAAGCAAAAAAGGCAAACGAAAGTAAAAAATAGAAGAATTGTCACTGTGTGACTGTTTTCTAATTTTTCATCACTACAAATGCTGCTAAAACTTGACGGAAACCAATTTCTTTAAGACGCACATAAATTTAAAAAAAGTCCTTGAATATTAAATATCTGTTAATCTGTTCTTTTCTTTTTTGCATGTCTCCGATAAAAATATTGCGTATTTATTTAAATTCATATATCAAGCAGTATACTTCTAAAGTAAATAATTGTTCAAGCAATTTTGTCAACAATTTATATACATCCAGTTTTCTTGAAATTTTGCGCGCGTAAATATATTACTGATGTCTTAATTATATCTTTCATCTCAATGTGTTTAGTTTTTTTTTTATCATCACATTTTTTTCTTATGACTAAGAATTTAATTAATGGCTTATTAGCATCTCTTTTTTCTTACTCTCATATTGGTTTTTTTCTCGTGATTTGAGTCAATTTTTATAATTTTAGAACATTTTTTATTTTATTTATTTTATAATGACATTTTTTTCTTCGTTATTGAATTAATATATTACACACACGCAGGTGTAAATGCGGCTAGAGATGGTACTTTGACGTTTATGGTAGGTGGCACAGCAACGGATTTCGAAGCTGCAAAATTTATACTCGAATCTCTCGGTTCTAGAATAATTCATTGCGGTGATGTAGGCATGGGTCAAGCCGCTAAATTGTGTAATAATATGTTGTTAGCCATCAGTATGATTGGCACAGCCGAAGCATTTAATCTCGGACAAAGGTGAGTTACCAGCAATTTGATGTATTTGTATTTCAATAAACGGTTTTGTATGTTGTTTATTACTAAAATGTTTCTATATGTTTCAGACTGGGCTTGGACGCTAAAATATTAGCTGACATTATAAATTCCAGCTCGGGCAAGTGCTGGTCATCCGATCTCTACAATCCGGTTCCAGGAATTCTGCCAAACGTTCCCAGTTCAAAAAATTATGAAGTAAAGAAATATAGAATTTTTTTCATAATATTGTTTTTTTAGAAGATAATTTATTATACAAATTCGCAAAAGAAGAATTCTGAATTGGGAATTCCGACATAAATATGTGACATTGAAAAAAATAGTAAGTGTATGAAACAGGTAACTGCATATTTACAGGGTGGTTTTGGTACAACGTTAATGGCCAAAGATCTGGGATTAGCGCAATCTGCAGCATTCAGAACACAAACTCCGATTCCTCTTGGTTCTCTGGCACATCAAATTTACAGAGCAGTTATTGCACAAGGATTCTCGAATAAGGATTTCAGCGTAATTTATCAGTTTCTTAAAGGAAAACAATGAGGAAAGTTAATTTTTATATTAATCTTGGGTTATTAGGTTATTTTTATAACCTCAGGTTATTTTTTATATAAATTAGATAAATGTGTATTTCTACATATATATAAATATAAATGAATTTTATACTTTATATTTTCTAAACAAACACAATTCTGTTGTTTATTTATTCCTTTGACCATACAACTATGGACTGTCACTTTTTTTTCAATGCTTTTTTGTGTAGCGGAGATTGACATCGCTTCTGTCTAAGTGGCAAAAAAGTGGTAAAAATAATGAACATCAAAGACAGCTATAGATGAAGACAAAGCGAGATAGAATAATAGAGTATTATTTATTGAATATTATATAAAACAAGATTATATAAGGTTTTAGAACAAAAGTCTGAAGAAGCCGCGCATAAATGATTTTTTTTTATTCGCACGTCGACGGAGAAAAATGCAGTTAATCTTTATTATATGACATAAAACTACCGAGTAGCAGTCTATAGTTATAAAATCAAAGAGTCAAACGCACATTCTTTGTACACATTTATATAATAACATTAATAACTTTATAAATTTATATAATTACAAATTAGTGTTTTTTATATATTCATATATATGTTTAATTGTTTTATAAATATAAGTAATTTGTTCTACGTATAGAAACTAGCAGCATAGAGAGCGCCATATGATAGACTATGATCTTATCATCTGTAGTTACATTATCCGATATATTAGTACACTGTATTATCAACACGTTGACAGTCTCAATCGATCACACAGCGTTGCATTTTGTTTATCCTTGCAATATATATTGTTATATTAATCATAATAAAAACCAGAAAAAAATGTTTTTTTGTACATTTCTGAAAATTATTTCAGGCCTCTGATGTGTTTACTGTAAATATCCCGCAACAGACATGTACATCTGCTCCTGACTTCGCGCATGCGCTCCACGAGTCAAAACGTGCATCACGGCGTGTACCACGTGACGCAGCGTTCGCCGTTCTCTGCAGTTCACCGCAGGACGTCATATTGACTAGTGTGGTACATCGCTCCATCGCTGTCATTTGACGGGTTTTTTGTGGCTGAGCGAGGACGAGAGAGCAGCGCAGTTTCGTGAGGCTACGTAGTGTTTGTGCGGCTCGCGAGCTTTTCCGCTGCGATTTCCTAGATTTTGCGCGAAGTCAGGACACAAAAAAGAAACAAAAAAACAAAACAAAAACAAACAAACCGTGCAATCTGTAAGAAGCGAAATTAAAGTCGTCTCGTTAACGTTGCGAATCGGAGCGAATATCGGTTGGACGTCGTGACGTTTTTCCCGCCGGATTTTCACGAACGAACGAACTCCGTCGTCGGGATCGTCCTCTTGTAGGTGTTTGGTCATCCAAGCGACACGGCCGGTTAGATGTGCCGCTAGTGTATGTATAACGCACGTGCAATACCAACTCGTCGTCATCTAGCGTACACTCCGCTCTGTGCATCACGGCACTACACAGTAATATATATATATATATATATACATACATATATATATATATATATATATATATATATATACGGTGCGTGCGTGCGTACTTGCCTGCGTTCCACCGCGTTCAGTGTCTCTCTCTCGGGGATCGAAGAACTGAGAATACTCGTGCGCGTGTATTACTCGCGAAGGAGCTGGGAGGAGCAAGCCTGTGAGTGCGTGCGTGCGTGAGGTGTTGGTGGATACATACGCGGGAGGAGAGTGCGAACAAACAGGACGTAGCCGAGAACGAAGGCGAGCAAGATGAGCAAGACGTGCGCTCGCTGCCAGAAAACGGTCTATCCGATCGAGGAGCTCAAGTGCCTCGATAAGGTACGTACACGGTTTCGTCTTTTTTTTTTTTGTGTGTACGTTCGATCGTCGGGTATATGTTCAAATCATCTTCGTTCTCTTTGAAAACATCATTGAAAGAAACGCGCTTCTTCTCGGGGCGAGACGTGGCGAGAGAGAAACGAGTGCCCGTCGCTCGGGAGAGAGATGTATCGTTCCCGTTCGGCTCCATTGACTAGGGCTCGGCCCCAGCGGCGGCCTTCGCTGTGCCAACCGACGGCCTCCCCGTGTGGCGCGTCTGTGTGCGATCCACGCGTGTCTAACATCGTGGAACGCTCCGACGAGGATGCTCGTCTACTTGTTGCGCCACGATAGACAAATTTTTTAATAAAAAAAACAAAAAAAATAGAGCTCGATTAACGGCAGTGCGAATGGATGTAAAAGGTAGTCGCGTCTACTTGTTGCGCCACGCTGTGACACGAATTAACGTACTCTGCTTGACGTATACCTACACCTACACGAGAGATTACGAGAATATGAGTTTCCCGACGCACAAAGATGAGAATATTTATGATACCTGCGCACATTGTTGCAAATTTAATTGGATATAATTAGCGCGCGCATATCAAATACCGTCAAACCAGCTGAAGGTTATAATTCATTTTTTTTGGACGATGTTGATGACAATTATTGCGCGCAAGTAATTCGAACAAATATTGACCGGTAATATTTTTTAAAATTGGTTTCGAATTCGTTAAATAATGAGAGCTCAAGTAAAGATGCGAGAAGAGAGACAACGAGGATCGACAATTTTCCGTTCGATGCTTCTGGTGATTTAACGTAACGCTGGTGTATGCAACGGGTAGGAGAATTTTTCGAGAGACGGAGAAACGAAGAGTGGGAGGAAACATGCAGGATTTACCGTTTGTGTACCAATTTCGATCGTTCGACCGCGAGTCAATGCACATAGGTCAATGTTATACTGTTTGTACACAAATCTAGGTTACGAAATGATGTTCAATATGTTGCATTTTGTGATAATCTTTTTTGTGTTACTTTTTTTGTTTTACATGTAATTTATTTTCAGTTATTTAATTTTTTATTCTAGACCACATGTGTACAATGAGAAACAGAATATTCCGATATCCTGTTTGATCTTGGAAGTTCTGAAAACTTGTTGGAGTCCATTCAAGAAAGTGTCCGTTGAGAAATTCGTTTCATTTTAACTATCTATAGTCCATTCAAGCGAAGAGTCCGTGTGAGTCCAACTTCCGTTTTACGTAGAAAACCTTGAAAGAGATTTATGATTCGCGCGAGAGACTTTTGCACTGAACGGAACAAATTCTCTATGCGGGTCTGTCCCAAGTATTTCTTTTTACACATCTCGAAAGAGAGACCGTGGCGTGCGCAACTCCCATTTACTGCCATTCGTCGTGCTAATTTATCCGACTTTGTTCGCGCGAGAAGCTCTCGGATCCGAAATTAGCCGGACGATTATATTGTGCTGGAATTTACAATATTTATATTTTCTCTATATGCTGGAATTGTCATTTATATAAACGTAACCCGTTATTCTAGCTTGTATAGAGAAAACTGCAGTGTTTGATTGTTCAGAGAGCTTGTGTAATATTTTATTACGGGAGTAATGTTGCTTAGAGAAACATTTCAATTACGATGTAAGAACGATTGAAAAGATAAAACAGAGATCGAGTCATTTCTTAAAAAAAAAAATAATTTACAGTATTTTCTTTCCTCGCGGTTGTTGCCGAGATGTGTAAGAAGGTTGGCGCGCATTATAGCGGATCAAAACTTTTTCTGCGATAGATTACAGGATGTACCGTTCTCGTTTAGTTCCGTTCACCGAGCCGTCCTCAGTTCCATTCGCTGCGATATTCCTCGTCTCGTTTATCCTTACGTTGAATGACCGATATGCGGCACACACAGAGAGAGAGAGAGAGAGAGAATGAAAAGATTCTTCTCTTGAGTCACTTTTTAGCCGAATCTCTTTCCACACACGATAACTGTATATCAGAAAAACTCCAAAACTGTAAAACATTATAATAACTAATAACCTTGTTAACATTCTTATTAATTAGTACACATATCTTGTCTCGGCAAGAATAGATACATGTATAGAAACACACGTTATCTTGTACTTATCTAATCAACTACGAGCAGATGAAAAGACTTCACAAATTTTAAAATGTTCCCTTTTTGTAGAACAAAGGCAAGCAGGTTTTCTGTATAAACGATAACAATTTTAAAGGTTTATACTATTTTATTTTATTATCTTATTTTATTTTCTGATTATTTTAAGTATTTACAATAAGAAAAGATGCTAATAAATTAATTACAACATTTGATCAGCTTAAAAAGATTTTTTTCTTATCTATACAATGTGTTTGTGTGTCTGTGTGCATAGTAGCGGAGGGTTAATGTAACTCGCCGAACAAGTTAACGGGGTTTAAATCACGTGGGCGGCTTTCTCGCCAGAGAATTCTAAGCGCTCGAGAGGCGATAAAAGGAAGTCGGGATCCTAAATTTGGACGTATCCGACGGCATGAGAAAGAAAGAGATCGGCTACGTTGGTTTTTTTAAATTATCTTTCGGCGTTTCCTACAAAGGAATAAAAGTAAACTTTGAATCACATAAAATGCATTTTATAAGAACATCTGAGTAATATACAGGATCAGTTTTATACATAAAAACAAAAATATCTAGAAATGTTCGCCAATTTTTATACCGTTAACATTTTTCTTTCTTGTTCACTTGTTTTTTTGCAAATTACTCGCAAAGCAGCTCGTGTAATTCGCGTGTACGACGTTGTTCGCGTCTGTGTTTGTACTTGTTCGTATTGCGTGTTTCCGATGCTCGTGAAATTGCGATTGCAACTGCGTTTTTCTCTATTTCTTACTCTCTCTTTTTCTCTTTCGGAAACACGAGAGAGAAAAGAAACGAAATGGAAAGAACGAAATGGAAGTTCGACGCTATATATAAACGAGGAGGAATTGAGACGAAACATATTCAACGTTACGCGCTCAACGAGTCTAAGACAAATTAAAGCATGCAAAGAAAATAATTAAGACGAAGGGATTTATTAAAGGAAAATGCTTATAATTAGGATTGGAAAGTGAGAGAAAAAGACAGAGAATCTTTTCTCTTTGTCAGTCGGCAAACCTTTTACGAAAACTCATGATAAGCTTGTATAGTATGTCTTCTAAGCTTTATTTTCTTTCCCTTTGTGTATTGTCAGAATAATCTACTTATTCGATTCAGAGCGACCTTTGCGACTACCCCAGTTCTTTTATACGTCATACATATTGTGTGTTGTATCTGTGATGCTTTTTTTTTCACGGTTATCGCTGCTTTGATTTGACATATAAATATTTTTTAATATTTTTGCTTGGACACATAATGCACGATGGAATTTACACCGAAAAAATTATATTCTCGTAAGTAGAAGATTTTATACTTAAAAAATCGTCTTAAAGAGTTTAGATGATATTCTTCTGAAATTAAGAATGTATTCTTTATTTAAGAATATATTCTTAATTTAAGAATATAATCTTTTTTGATAGTGAGATATATATGTTTTTCTATAGAGGTTTTTTATATTCTAATCAGTATATATTCTTACACTGAGAAAAAAATACTATTAACTCAACTAAATGCGTTTAGTTGAGTTTCAGTTTGTTATCTGAAATATCTTGTTTTTTTAATTCAAGCATATGGTAATAAAGATAACAAATTCGTATAAGTTGAATTAACAATAGTGATAATGAACATATTTAATTCACTAAATCATGAATTGTTTTGTCAAACATAAGTTGTGATAATTTCAAATAAAAGATACTGTTAAAAAAGATGAAATAGGCAATTCTCATTTACTTTAATTGAATATAATCTGAATTTCTTTGTACTAAGTATTTTATCTAATCAAACTGCTTATTTTTATAAGCAGACAAAATATTGTGTTGTCCTATTGTGTTGTACATTCAAAGTTATCTGTATTTAAGCAAATTATAATTTTGTTAAAACAACTAAATTGTCTTTTGGTATAACTTAATTATTATATCTATTGAAACATGATATCTTCTTACATTAATCAATATTTCATTGACAGCCCGTGACCGCTGCATATAGTTGAATCAAATACTATTTTGTTACTTCAACAACTTTTTTTTCTCAGTGTATCAATATTACTATTTAGAAGATTTTCCTCTTAAAATAAGAAACTCTTCTTGGCGCCTATTTTAGTATAAAATATACTTATAAAGTAAGTGGGATATCTCTCCTCAAAACAAGAATACAATTTTTTCGGTGTAGAAAACAAAATCTTAACTGTCTTTTCACTCTGCGCAAGCGTCACTCTCTATGAAATGATACATACAAGAAGTATACCACAAAATTATCAAATAATGTAAACTGTTTTTTTTTGTTTTTTTTTTTTTTTTTTACCAGAACTATTGTATAATCGAAGACACTACTGCAGTTATCAAACGAATTGAAACACTTGAGGGTACTCAAGGGCGCTTAAATTTATTAGGATGTTCGTGTCAGTTTTATTCCCTCTTTTTTTTGTTTATCTCGCATTACGCAACCCGTATATTCTACTCGAGCACGCGCGTTCTACGTTACATGGGCCAGTAACGATTAATCTACGTCCCATTAGCGAAGAGCAGCTACTTGTCTGTTTTCCCAGCCTCTCTTCCCTTCGTGTTTAATATGAACACGGTTTGTATAATTGTAAATAGCTTTTACTTTTTTGTTCGAACGGAGGGCGTGGTCTCGCATTAGTGTATTTACGCTCTCGATGTTTTATTGCGATTTGCACACGTATCTCGAAATGATCGAAATGAAATTCACTACCGGCAGTTTATTCGCAAGCAAAACTACAAGCAAATTGAGTTGCGAATACTCGTCGCGTGAGTCTCGCGATCTCAACAGGTGGAAGTCGATTTCAACCTGTTGCTTGTTCAATCGCTCGCGAAAAATTCGCCGGTCACAGTGTAAATGTTACAGTTCGGTCTGTTTTTTATCTTTTTTTTTTTTTTTTTTTTTACGGTATTTTTTTCTGGCAATGTGTTGTCGCACATTTGAGATGCGTGTTGTTCGAATAATAAACGAGTAAGACTACATGTTTGTTTACACACGCGAAACACGATTCTCGGAGATTATCGTTAATTAAAATTATCCTCTACCGTGAGATATAACATACTTTCGCAATTCGATTAAGCGATTTCCTGGATTTCTCACTTTTCTGGATCCGCATGTTTTCATCCATTAAATATTCCTGTTATGCCAACGATGCGGCGGGGGGAGGGGCATCCGGCTTGTCTCTCACCGTCCGATTGCGAAGGCGTAAGTGTAACGATTACACACGCGAGATACACACGCCACATGTGATTCCATAAACGCGCACAAATATGAACGGAGATATAATTCCTATTTAACCGGTTTTTTTTTTTTTTTCGTTCGATTAACACGCGCGTAAATCAATCCCGCTCTGCATTAATGTCGCGCACGTCAAGGATTGGGGAATGTGATAAACGAGGAATGTGTGTGGTAAATTTCAAGCATCAATCAAACGTTGTAGATAAGACACATGTGAGATATACGCATTTTTAACGATTCCCGAGTCGAAATTTTGATGCTATTCAAATTTTTGAAGATACTTTGAACCTATTTAACTGTGACCAATATACTTATTTAAACCTACTTTGACGATTATATTCATTTACTCCTCTTTTGAACCTTTAATTCTATAAATTTTACGTTACTCCTATTTTGAACCTAAAAACACTCTCGATATTTTGGTGATTAAAATAGATTCTTTTTTATTGTCGCGTTTGTGTGACACGTAAATTTGTGTTACAATATTCCAAGTCACTTTATTTCGCGTCTTCCCAAGTAACAACGTGTGGATTCTGCGCAAAAACGATCCTATTTTACGATCTACAGATCGAAGCAGCATCGTTTTCGCTCGGTTTTTTCACCTTTCGATTCAAAGATATCGCGCTTGAATATCGAATTTAAAACGATAAATTCAAATAGATCGAAGTAATTATCGTTTTACGACTTTCTATCAATCAAAACCGAGAGACGTTTTATTGTAATTGCTTCAACGATCGCAATCGCTGTCAATTAGTAAATAGAGCGTAATTTGCACTTGTATTACCGTCGTGTATATCACGTTTGATATTTAGCTCAAGAGAAAGGTTGCCCAAGAGATCGGGGGTTTGCTGTCATTGTTCTGCCGACTGCCGCTTACTCTCGACAATTCGCTAGACGAACTTTCACTTTTGATGATAGTGTCAGTTCAACGTTTTAGGCGAAGCTATAATTTGGCGCGCAAAAAAAAAAGCAAAAGAAAAACTCGTCAGTTTTGGAGAAACTTTTGAATATATAAAGTTTATTTAATATAGAAATTTAAAGCAATCAATTTTAATGTCTCGAGTTTTTGTATCGCGTTTAGTCGTTAAATCATTACTTATCTAAACACACGTGAGATTGTATTTCAACGCGTTCTCGAGCGAGTATATTAAAAAAAAAAAAAAACGCAAGAGATTTTTTGCCGCACGCGCACCGACCGCTCTCTTCTTAAATCCAGGACACCGTGTATGCAGCAACTTATAAATAAGATAACTTGCGAAATCAAAAGCCTTGTACGGGCAAAAGACATTCCGAAATTGGGTGAAAGTACTCGGTCGAAAGAAAGTCGATCTACGTAGTAGCAATTACTTTCCACATGCAGATTTATTATCAAACGTGTTGAGTAATCTAACAGCTTCATGTGATATTGTCTCTCTCTTTCTCTTTTTCTCTCTCTCTCTCTCTTGTTATTTTTTTCTCTACGCAAGTTTAACGCAGTCCCTTAATTGTCGTGCGAAATAATTACAATATGAGCACAAAGCGAGTGAGAAAAAAAACAAGGTCGACTTCTAACTACGTGTCTCGAACAAAACAATGCAAATGTGCGCGACTTATATCGACTGTATAATGTATTTTGCTGATCGACAGTTGAGAACAACGTTGTGCATTAATAATCGCACACAATGAGACACCGTTGCATTCGTTTATTGCTCACATTCCAGCATCGTCTCGTGAATTGACATCGGCGACCCGACCAGTGTGTTGTCTAGAAATTGAAACTGGATCTTATCACGCTTCATAAAAAAAAAGCGAGAACTGCCATTGATGATTTCTGCTTTATTCTTTTTCTTCTCTGCAATATGTTACGGAAGTAGAAGCAAAAGTTCGCACAGTTTGCGAAATCTTTGTGATATTACGAAATACGACTCGAGTCAAATTTCGCTCTGTTTTACGTTTTGTTGCTTTCAACGTGACGTCACATGTCACTTTTTTGTTACCGATACAAAATCTAATTTGCGATCTCAGAAAATTACTTTACCATCCCGTTCCGTTTTGTTCTCGCAATTGTTTCCTAACGCAAACAACTTTCGAAAGGATCGTTAAGTATATTGTGCCGTGTCTTTCCAACTTCCTGCCCGTTATTTTGCAATGAAGGAAGTTCTATGAGAAAACCGCTGACTGCCTGGCGATTGTAAAATGCGTAGAAAAAAAAAAAAAGCAACTAATGAGCGTATTTTGAAGCGACCTTTGATTATCCTGTGACGCTTGCTTTCGTTTGCGTCACATATATCGCTATTGCAAAAGCTATGTATCTACATAAATAGTTCAAAGGTTTTTAGTTTAAAATTAATTCCGCGTAATTTTGTAACACAAAATGTAACAAGGAAATGGTAACCCTTCAGTACCAGATATAGGTCTACGAGATTCACCCAAAAGTTTTAAACCAGTGTCTCTACTAGGTGTAATAATTTAGCGTTTTTAAACACACACGTACTAAAGTAAAGTCACGTGACTTTAGTTACGTGTTGTTTTTTCTCTTCTTCCAGTCACGTGACCTTACTTTGGTCTTGTTTTTAAAGACACGTGACTAAATTAAAGTCAAACTTAAAGTCGCGTGGATCTCACAGACCCAGTCTGAACAACTCGTAGATCATTTTTTATGTCTGTCACTGAAGAGTTAGTAGAGAAGTCGCACTCGTTTTGTAGTAATGAGTCATCACGCGTGTCGTTTCGCGACGATTGCACGATGGGATCGTCTGCGATTGCGTTCTCTCGCGATCTATAACCTTTGTCGATTCCTGAGAACGGCCTTGCCGATTGCCGATACGACTGTACGACGACCTTCGATTAGTTTAATATACGTTAATGCGATGAATAAAGCCGTACGTACGCTTTGTTCTATTGGAACAAAGCTCATTAGCAACTGAGATACTTTGAAAGCCGTACCTTGCGACAATCCTCCTGTCTATTTTTTTGTAGCAATGTAACTTTGCATCGTAACATCTTAACGATTTAGGATACACGGAAAAGAAAATGATGTTGAATCAACAATATTAGTTTAATTGAAATATATTCTGTTGATGCAACATCAATATTATTGCACTACACACAGCAGATAATTGCTTTAAGAATCTAGACATTAAATTAATCGCATATGCAATTGAATGAACTATTTATTTTTGTGGCAGTCCGTGACGTCAACTTTAATTGAAGCAACTTCATTGTTTTTTCTGTGTAGATCGAGTCGTGATAGTTTAGTCGGCAGAGTGGAACTTCTTTCAACATTTCAGGAATTATTATTGACAATTTATGAATTGCATTGTGTGGAATTGTTATAGAAATATTTATTTACTTTTGTACATTGTATTTTAGTTCCAAGTGAATATCGTATCTCTTTCTTATTTCAGAGACTTCTCAGTGAATTAGGGCAGCTTTTATGACCAACTTTTTTGCAATTGTAGCAAACAGACATTTGTAATGAATGGCGCGAAGATGAACCGCTCGACGCGTATTTTTATCTGAACTACAAACTCTGTTATCTCGCGATATCAGTATCTAGTAATACCGCTAGATATCTATAAACAATATCAAAAAGCAATATAAGTTTTTTAATGACCTTATCATTTAGCGATCTCTGACAATTTAGTTGGTATTGATCTTAAACATCGATAAATATATTTAATCTTTTTTTTTTCTGTTTTAATTTCCCTGTTGCGCGGTATTTAATTTTTTTAGTTTTCTCTCATCTGTTTTCAACGCGCGGCAATTCACATCGAGAAGAATGAGGTTGAGAAAAAGAATTGCAAAGCTAATTATCTTAATGTTTGTTTCGCAATTGTGTGAAGATTGATAAAAAACAACATGTAAAATGTTAATTTATTTCCCTGTTACAGATATGGCACAAGCAATGCTTCAAGTGTCAGGGCTGCGGTATGACTCTGAACATGCGAACGTACAAGGGTTTCAACAAACAGCCATATTGCGAAGCGTAAGTTAAAACATTATAAACTTGACTTCCTTTCCGCACACGATCGCACATATCTCTCTCTTTCTCTTACTCTCTTTCTTGTTCTCTCTGACGAAATTCACGACGCGCGCGCGCGCGTTCCACTTTGCCGCAGAAAGAAAGTTGACCCCGCAGAAAATCGCTGACGGCGTTGCAGCGGCTACACCAACCGGGTTTTTGTCGCACAACGAATCGCTTTGCATAACCGCGTTAGTGTCGCGATGAGTTAACATTCGAAAATCAAAACTAACGCTACATCGCGAATTTTAAATATTGTTGTTTGGACACACGTAAACGCGGGAAATTGATAGTCTTCTGCGAAAAAAAAGAATAATTACGGAACACGCGAGTTAATTCGTTTTATTTGAGATAAAAGAGAGATTGTCGTGTCGCGTTAAGCAAATCTCTCGTTTTTCTCGAATAGCTCGAAGCGGAATCGAAACGACGTGTAATATGTTTGCTTAGGATCCGCGAACGCGTGCAATTTGATTTTTTTTTGGCCGCTGGTTTCGCTCGGCATTCATCAGGGGGGGAAAAGGAGTGCGGCAACATTGATATTAGCGATACTAATGACATGCGCGCGCACCTCGCAGGCTCCTTCGTGTTTGCACGGCATGTGTGTGTGGTTAATAACGCGACGTCTAATATCCGGTAAACAAACGGTTGGAGGATCATGCGCGCGCGAGAAGAGTGTGAAAGCATCAGAATAAGCCGTTCGCTCGCGGGATTGCAAATCCTTCGCTTAAAGCTAAACATATGCCAGGTGTGTCGACGGAGCGAAAGCGAGCAAACGGTCCTTGCGATCTCGAGGGATAATGCACGGCTGTCGCGCCTTCTTCATGCGTGCGTGCGCGCGCGCGCGCGGAGGATTCCTCCTCGCCTTTTAAACGCGCGGCGAGGACTTTTAAACGCGCACGACGTCCTTTGCCACACGTCGCCGGTAGCGTAATACTTTGCATAATCTGACGCTTCGCCTCAGGTCTTACTTGCTGGTTGATTCGCGTGCGTGCCGTGCAAAATAAATATTATTTTCTCTACGCCGATTCCAGAATGAATCGTTTTCTCGTGATTTGTTTCGCAAATAAAACGCGCTTTTTCGTTCGACGTGAATAAACTAGAAACACGACGACGCGTATATATACACATATGTGTAATATGTCATCGTCATTGTTTAAATGCGCAGCGCAGTTTTCTTTTATTCGCGTTCACCGATAAAAAAAAAAAACTAAGATACAGAGAAAGCGTGAAAATTTGATGTTGTTTTAATCAATATTATGTTTTCATTTGCTGATAAATTCAAACGCGTTCTCTTTAAGCGCGAGACTTCGTGGTTACAACCGTGGATATGTATGTGGATATGTGCGCGAATTGAGAGCTCCATGCTCTCGATCGAAAGAAATGTAATAACTAATCGTCGAAAACCAGTTTTGTGTCTTTTCTCTCGGATAGTCTTACTTCACTTACAACTCGATACAACGATGTGTGCAACGTAAGCTTAATAATCCACGGAGAAGGGTTGTAATTTAGATTCTAATTAGTGTTATCTCGCGCGGCGGTACACAATATTGCTACTCTTCGTGATTAAGTTTGTCCCGCCTAATAACGCGGTAACGGGACGCCGTTTAAAAAAAAAATGTGACAAATCATTTGACTTATCATTAAGAAAATTAAGAACGATCGAGAGATTTCGTCATGCGCTAGAGTCGTTTACTTATTTATTAGTCGAACAGATAATAATAACTTACATACATGTGGCAATATCTGATATCGCACTGGCATGGGAACTTGATGCTGAAAATCTTGTTTTTTTTATAACTGTTCTTTTGATTAAGCAACGAGAAATGACAAAATTGATGGAATCTGAATTGATAAACGTGTTTCGTTGTTCGAAAAAAAACAATACAAATAGAAAAATGATTGTGTGTCGGACCACAGAATGAAATTAACTCTTCAAGATTTGGTTAATTTCGTGACTCCGACAAACAGCAATTGCGCAGTTTGTGCAATGGAGACCCGAGGGAAAAACGTTTGGTATTTTTAACGTTTTTCTGCGATAACCTCCTGACATTTTATTATTATTATTATTTTTTTTTTAACGTTTATTACTTAGAAAGGTACACACTTGACGTGATGGCATCTGTTAGATGCGCCCGGGGCGTTTGTCTTTTGGTTTTTAAATTGATCGAAAGAACAACGGGCAACGAAGTTGAAAGGTGCGTTACAGATAATGTCTCATCGAAAGAATTTCGTATTCCGCGACGGCAACGGGTATGTGTCAGCAATGCGTGTCGAATCAGACGACGTACTGAATAAGCAAAGCAGAACACGTGTGAGTCGTGAGATTCATTCATTCGTCTGGTTGTCTACCCTTTTATCTCTCCCTCTCGCGCCATATAAATTTATCTCTCTCGTTCATTAGCCCGTTTCTGCGTGGAGATCAATTTCAATTCACTCACACACACACACACACACGCGCGCGCGTCGCTCGTGATATTTCTTTGTTTCAGTAATCTATAAACTTTCTTTTATTTTTAACTGTACGCGGTATTTTAATATTGTTGTTTGTAACATCGATCACAAAGTTTTATATAATAACTGCGTTTTTATTCGAGCTGATTGTAATATATGACGTTTCGGAAATCATCCGTAACATTAATCTCGACAAATTGTAATATCTTCGTCTGCAATCATTACGGTAACGTAATTCAACGAAGTTATCGAACGTTGCGAGCGGACATAATCGCGGACATTCTCGTCGCGCATCCCGTTACTTCTCGCGTGTCTTTGTCTTGTCGTTCCGCGTTGCATCTCTCTACGAAGCGCAGCTGAGCATCGCCCGAGACCAACTTTAAACAAGTAAGTTTCTGCTTACTTGTCTATTCGAGATTATCGACCCCGAAAAGAAATATCGCAAGTTAGATAAAGTGGCTCTTTACGGATATAACGTTACGATTAAATGAACATATGTTTCGAGTTTCTCTCTCTCTCTCTCTCTCTCTCTCTCTCTCTCTCTCTCTCTCTCTCTCTCTCTCTCTCTCTCTCTCTCTCTCTCTCTCTCTCTCTCTCTCTCTCTTCTCACACACACATCTTGACGTGCTGTACACATATACGTATATGTACGTCAAATTAAGCAGTCTACCGGATAGCGCAAAAGAGAACACGTGTTCGTCGCACTTATGCGCCTTTTTTGGGTCTGTCGTTTTTTCCTTCGCAACATTTGCATTTTCTCTCAGTGCGACGACGATGACGACGACTTCAATGTAAATGCGAATATAAAAGTACATTTTAACAAATAAAACTTTGTTTTTATAAGCCTGAAACATACAAAAAAGAGTCAAGAAGCAAAACCATATTTAAGCCGAAGGTTAAAAAGAGAAGTGTGCAAAAAGATTGTATCTTTAATACTTTTAAAGTAAAAACACAATAAAAATCTTTGTATAGAATATGTTATTTTCTATACGCGATTGTCGAATATCTTTTCTTCTTCTCATACGCCTCTGTTTTTCGTCTTTCCTGACTCGCGCGCTATCTTTAGTCACACACACACCAGCACACATCGTTCCAAATTTTAATAAAATTGTTCGAGATGATATCATCCCGCGGTTCACTACAAGTGAGTCATTTCCTTTGACAACGAATTGTTTTTTTTTTTATCCAGCAAACGTCACTCGCTTGTGCGTCGCACATTTTCACGCATATACTCGATCACAGATCGATATGTTAAACGTGCCTTATAATTTTTCTAACTTGAATATTTTTTTTTTTTTACGCAAAAGTTGCTTTTCGCAAAATTTTTTTGTCGTCTTCTCTATACGGAAATATCCTCGTCAGCTTAATTTGAGCTTACTTGACATCGCATGACACCCAAGTATATTTCGAGTTTTACTGAAAAATGAATTTTTTCTGCAATATATAAGAGATCTGTCATATCTTTCCATTGTTCTCAAATGTTTGTTATTTAACTAATAAGAATGATAAGTCGTTGAGAGCCGTTCGCTGGATGTTATGCGGAAAATATGTCTAAATATACAAGGTGTCCCAGAATTGCCGTACAATGTCTCGTAGGCAGATAGAAGGAGTAAAACTGAGTCGAAAAGTCCTTAACCATTTTTTTATATTATTTATAATAAAAGAGTAATTATTGAGTAAATCAGGCCAATCAGCGCAGATCTTTAGCCAGGCGCACGTCAGTGAGCGCTCACACACACCAGGCGCGCGGCTCACTAACGTGCGCCTGGCTAAAGGTCTGCGCTGATTGGCCTGATTTATTCAATAATTACTCTTTTATTATAAATAATATAAAAAAATGATTCAGGACTTTTCGACTCAGTTTTACTCCTTCTACCTGCCTACGAGAGATTGTACGGCAATTCTGGGACACCCTGTATATGTGCGTGTGTACACATATATAATCGAAATCACGTTTTTCACGTGAGTTTTTTGAATTGTAATAACAATTCTAATAATCATATAGAATGCTCAACTTGCATCTCGTATATGAAGAACCCCGAATATCCCCCCAAATTAATTTAATTATAAAGGGGTTTTTCATATACGAGATGCAAGTTGAGCATTCTATATGATTATTAGAATTGTTATTACAATTCAAAAAACTCACGTGAAAAACGTGATTTCGATTATATATGTGTACACACGCACATATATATTTAGACATATTTTCCGCATAACATCCAGCAAACGGCTCTCAACGACTTATCATTCTTATTAGTTAAAGACTTCACAGAGCCTGAGATGAATCTCAGTTTTAATTGTTTGTTATTTATTTTGTAAACTTTTAACAATTGAAATATGAAATTTGTTTACACAAGTGTATGTATTTCAAAACTTTCAATTTCGCATAATTTCTTGTAATAAAATTATAAAAAACTAAAATATAATTTATGTAGGGAAAAACGGTTAGAAGTATACAAAGCGGAAACAACGCCGAAACGCGTTTAAAAGTCGTTCGCTCCGACGCGACG